ACTAGAGATGAACCAAACTACTTGTTCAACCAAAAAAGTGTATGTAGTAATACATTGAAAGTAGGAAGTAACACCTGAAATTCATACATATGTACGTACATACATACAAACACACGTGCCAAAAACACTATTCTATGGAAATATTAAATAATTTGCAAAGATATACAATAGAGATGAATGGTGAATACGATTGTTCTTACATGCATACAATAGAAATGTAGATGTTAGTGAAACACTCAGATATACTTACACAAAAGAAAACTACAATAAATTGAAAAGCGAAATGCATACAATTAAATAAATAAAAACTTTGAAAAGAATATAAGTATGTATATTAGGGTGCCCATCGAAACTTTTTTTTTTTAAAGTTCAAGTTTCCTTCCTTTCTATGAGATATATTATTGCCTATTTTCATAGATTTTTCAAAAAANGCCTATTTTCATAGATTTTTCAAAAAACATGTGGAGGTCGCGACTTTTCATTTAAGGTCAGAAAATACGGTTTTTGTAATCTTAAAGAACGAACATGTTGTGAGAAGTGGATTTACAGGCCTTCGAAATGATATTTAATAATTTATTGTCAGACTTGGATTGTCCGGATTTTTCATCGGGGGGAAAAACATATTTTCTTATTTTTTAAGTTTTGACCATCACTAACTTTCACAAATTCAAAATATGTAGTACTATCTAAAATTAAATCCGTTTTCAATTAAACTGATATGTCATTTATTGCAATCGCATAAAAATTGCCGAAGTTATGCGGTGTTCGCATGAGGCGATTTTTCAGGCAATTTTAGAGGCGATTAGTTGAATGAAAAGTTGGCTGCTCCCCACCTTCATTGGAAGCGATTAGTTGAAAGGCCGTACACACCACGCGATTATTGCTTTCAATTAAAAGTTGCCTGTAAAATCGCCTCATGCCAACACCGTGTTCGGCGACTTTTCTTAGATACGGCCTTGACTTTATATTGCGTATGTACCGGGCTTTCAGCCTATTTGAGCAGTGTGGCTAAGGAATTCATCAACATTTATTTAGAGTAGATATATACAATCGCTCATTAGCAAAAGCTGTTGTCAACAATGGCAATGTAGATTATTTTGTCATCTACCGTTGTAGGCTTGGTACTGAGAGATCATATGCTCTGCACTGCAGGTAAACTCTCGATTTAACTCGCTCGATTTAGTGCTCTGAGTAAGGATATTCAACTAACTAAACAAAGTTCATCACCGTTCGATCGCCCATAAGAGGCAAGGTCCCGGCCCCAATTTGTATAAATGCCTTGCACTATGTAGAAGCAGGCAGGAGGTTTCAAATACCGTCGCAATATGGCTGATGAGATTAATCAGCGTTACGGAGTGGTGAGGATAATTGAACGGTGTCAAACGGTAGTAACACAATGGGCCCATTTGGATCTACATTTCAGAAAGCTCTACTGATGAACACATATCCAGGCATATTGCAAGCGGAAATTTTTGCAATTGAAATCTGTGCCGGGGATTGTCTTCACGTCACACTTAACATCACGTCTGACAGTCAGGTAAAATAAAAAAGCCTTGGACTCGCGTAAAACTGCATCAAGGCTAGAACACTATTGCAAAATTGTATTGGATAAACAGGAAAATTCGGATCCGAATAGGCCATCCATGGCCCTTAGCCTGTCTGTGACCCATCCAAGGGATTACGGCAGAGTGCTCCTGACAAAATCGGACAATTCTCAGGTTACAACCCACTGTCATATGCCAAAGGGTTAAAGGCAACCCAAATCTTTCATAACTATCGCTCGTGAAGTTACTGAACAACTGGTTAACCTTAGCCGGCAGGGGCTAAGAAGTAGCAGTGGATACCTGATAGGAAACTGCGAGCTAAGTTAACAGCATTTTAAAATCGGCCATTTCGATAAGATGGACGACAGGTTCTCTGCGTGGAGCGAACCTCAGGACATATACTCCAAGTTACCTTATACGAGCATACATACGTATATCTACAGCTTTGAGAACGATTATTATCTCCATACAAAATCTGAAACATGACACCCTCCAAAGTGCTTAACTTTATAACTAGCCTAAGGTTTCACAGACTTCTTTAGGGTTAGCATAATATATTTAAATACATGCGTAGGTCACAGCTGGTATACCTTAAAAAACAACTCGAAAATATGGAATACTGCGCTTTATATAAAAAGGTCAAAAGTTCTGTTCCTTTTCGACTCCCAATGGAGTCATCCCGAACTAGACTATTTTTTTTTTGCAGAAGTTTTTCTTAACGGCAGTTATTACTTTCCTGAATGTACATGCATATTTAAATATGTAAGGGTAAACTATTGTGAATATTTTCTTTAGCCATAGATGAATAAAGGCGAATGTAATCTGCCGCACCATCGATACGAAAATGCATACATGTGAGTAGTTTGTTATAATAGAAAGCATGCAAAGTTAATTGAAATGAAAATTGGCATTTCGAAATTACAAATGTAGAAATATCAGCAAATAGCCATTACAACAATACTCGAACTATACTCATGCAAACTGTACATATGTACATACACACAGACTACGAATAACATTTATTAAAATGTATAGAAAATATTAATATTAAAATATGTAAACATATGGCGAAACGAACCACAACAGTTAGATATTTATCAATTGAAAGATATCTATTCATACCTTGGATCGTAGCCGAGTAATGGACTTTCAAATGTACAACTTCCATTGAAAATGCATCCGAATGCCGATGAATAAATACATACATAGATACATATGTATGTAGTTGCGATGAAAATGAACGTATGCAGGTGTACACGTACATAAATAGAATTTGATTTGTTGTAGTTGCAGTTGTAATTATTGTAGTCGATTGCGTCATTCATGTGCGAGAGCAAACAATTTTATGAATGTATGTATGTATGAAAGTTGATTAAATGATTTGGAAAATGAAAAATTTAAAATGATTTTAAATTATTAGCACAATAACATTTACATATAAGTAGATACAAACAAAAATGTGCACTTACATTCTAGTACACATATGTACAATCTTGCGTATAATTTTAATAAATTTTGAAAGGAAACTGCTAAAATTGCAGGTATTTGTTACTTTTAAATATAAAATAATATATTTACTGCATTAGGAGATATGAAGAATATGGCTTTAAAGCGTAAAACGTTATTTACAATACTTAGTAGCTCGTATTTTTGAATTCAAAAAAAAAAAATTATATCGATTTTTAATAACTTTATATTTGCCTAAATGCACTGGTAAGACTTTGCAGAGACTGCTACACTACTCGAATACATAATTAGATCAATAAGCTCCAGAGTGAAATTTTAGGGAAAATATTTTTCTTCGCCTGTTTTAGAGGAGTCATAAGCTCGGCTATCAGCAATAGGTGTGATGTGCGTTAATCACCATTACAAAAAACCGCGAGGAGTATTTAGGAACTGTAGCATACTTAATGAATACTCCCTTTATGCCAACGGTAGAGACATTTTGACTAGAAAGTTTAAAAATGCCTACTTACATAAGTAAAGGCAAAAGTGAGGAAAACTGCAACACTACACTTAAAGCCCTCGAAATCAAAGTGGAGCTAAAGAGCCAACCGGATTGCTTTATAAGAGCAATTAGTAAGGCTCCAAACATACATACATACTTAGTTCGCAATAAAACGTTATATAGAAGTTAGAGGAAACACCACGGAAAATACGCCATCGCCTCTCGCAGTGAGGAATACTGGTTATTCTCCTAAAAACAAAAAAGAATAGAATAAAATCCTAAGGCACCGATTTCAGAAAACACAAACACCAGGCCCAGGAAAACCGCATCTGGCTCAGACCGCTTAAGACCAAGCTGTTTCATGAGCAAAGCTGCCAACTATTTTGGAATAAAAAATTCCAGGTTTTTACAAAAACCCGCTAGAAAAATGCTAGATCCCACAAAAAAAAGCTGAAAAATTAATAGGTTTATATTAACGTAATTTTTAGCGTTTCATTTGAAACATTATTTGAAATTAAAATTAATAATAAAATAATACAGATGGAATCGAAATTCATAAGAAATGAAAAATAAGAATAAAAGTTAATATAACTATATATAAGTGTATATCGCTGCGTACCTTTGCTTTCACCAAGTTTAACTGGCTGAATAAAGTTCAAGGTCTGCATTAGGCCAAGGTAGCGAAATTAAATGAAGTGCAAATTCCGACAGATCGGAAAAAAATTTGTTGCCATCTGCATCAAGATAAGTTTGAATTGCATTGTATTACCTACATATGTATATGTATGTATTATTGCATTTTACAAAATTAGTTCTGTTAAACTGAATTATTATTTTTTCTATGATATCATCACTGTAATTAAGATGTTGTAGAATGTCTTCTATATTCTCTTGCGATGCGTGTAAACATTGCCCACTGAACACATATTAACTTTTCTAATCGTATCGAAATTATTTGGTAATCTAAATTATCTTGTGATTTTAAATATATGGAAAAAGCTAAAAATTTATCAAGAAAATTCCCAAAAGGCTGAATTTTCCGCTTCCCGCAATTTCTTATTTTCTGCCACTAAATGGACTTCGAAAAAGCCAGATATGACGGGAAAAGAGCTAAATTGGCAGCCCTGTTTATGAGGTGCGACGACGGAAAGGAATGAAAAAAATCTAAAAATCTGCCTTTTCACACTTTCGAGGAATCACATCACCACTTACAAATTTATTTATCCGACGGCTACAGCTTCCGATTTGTTTTTTTTTTTCATAATCTAAATGCTTTGTCAGTGGCAACATGAATTTTTCGATCGTTACAGCGACACCATGAATTTGTACGAGTTTGACATAAAAGAAGAGGATGAACCTTATCTCTCTCTGGAAAAATAGAAATATATGTAATCTGGTCACAGCTACATTTTTGGCTAGTCGCGGTATCGTCGACAAAATAATTACACAGTGCAACAATCAAAAAGTGATGGGAATGAGACCAATTATTAAAAGAGGTCAAAATATGAATAAATATCTACCGCATTTCTTTTTTGTATCGATTTGAAGTTGTGAATTTAAGGTTAAAAAATAAACAAGTACAACGTTTTTTTGGTTTTGCTCACAAATTTGATACCTACATACATATACGTATGTAAGTAAATTGTGAGGAACTCGCCATTCCGTAACCCAGATCCGAAAGACGCTAAGATCAAATCAGACGCTGTATACTAGGAAGCTGCTGACAACCTGCGTCTAATGGCTGTGCGAACTGCTGCAAATTACCCTATGTGATGGTGAAGCAGTTTGTGAAATGCAAACGAGAAAGCTTGAAATAAAGACTATCACCATATCACTTTCACTGACAAGCTCATGATTAGGGAGTTCTTATTAAAAAAGCACGTACGTGGTGAGTTTAGTCCCCCTACGCTTATGTGGCCATAATAACAGCCAGCTTCACCAGATTCATTTAAGTTAGATTTTCGAAATTTTAGTTTCACTAATCCATTTTAATTTGTTTTTAATTTTGATTTAAGTGACCTATGCTCTTTACTTAAATAAAAATTAAGTCTGAATAACCAAACTCAGAGGTGTTACACGTTTAATCACCTGATCATTGTGTATCTGCTGCTTACTTGCATACCAGCCCTGCTATTAAAACACAGCGTGCTAAAGCTTTCAAAAGCTCTCAGTACAAATGAAAGCTTTCGCTGGCCTAGTCTGTTTTACAACCACCTTTTACTCACTTAAATAAATAGTTTATTGAAGCTGAAAAAAATTTAAATGAGAATTAATTAAAAAATTTAATTAAAGTTAATTTTCACTTAAAAAGTTTAGTGAAACTGGCTGTAAGACATGACAAAATCGCAAGGGCTTTTTTGTACGGCAACTACTCATGTTCGGTATCTCTACGAATTGGCTGAAAGTAGAGTAAGCGTTTTGATGTATCTTCGGCCAAATCGTAAACTTATGCGAGCTGGTATTAATAGCAGTAGCATCTTAAACTAACAAAACTTTTATAGGAGGGTTAGAGGGTGAAGATCTTTACAAAAATATGCACTATTTATATGTGTCCGGATTAAATATTTAGCGAAATATTTTAGCTACACAAATTTTAGAATAAGTTTTTATTGATTATACATAAATAGGTTTTGGAAAAAATAATATTCGCTTCGTTTGGGTTACAGACCATTTTAGAAAATTTTAATTAAATATGCCGAACGCTTTTGGAAAAATCCGAAGCTTTAACTCTTTAAATTTATTTTAAAACTTTGTTGACGCAATACATTAACATGAAGTGACAACGATTCTTCTAAAAAGACAAAGAAAAGCTTTATTTCTAAACTTAATACGATTAAGAAATTTTTAAAGTTTTCTCTCTTCAAACATTTTTATAAATCAAAATGTAAAAAGAAATGGGAAAGAACGCTTTTAACCACTTTTGTTTATTCCTATAAGATTCGAAGATTATTTTAAAAACTGTAACACATTAGTTACCAAAAATGTACTTTTATCTATTTACAGATTTTGTGGTTACTGCATACGTTCCATGGTTATAAAAAGGTAAATATTTTTTTATTAATTCATGCGTTTCATTCATTCAGAATCTTTTTTGTTGTGATAAAGAATATTTTCCTTAAATTCTTGACGAATTTTCCTTAATAATGTAAAGTGGAGCAAGTGCTTCAAGCGTGATCAGAGACAGAAGCGAGTTTCAGCTGAAAAGCAAGCATAAAGGCAGCTATAAAGCTTGCAAGAAAGGGATTTGTTGCAAGTTATCGCTTTGAATAACTCTTTATTTTGAACAGTTTTTGAAATTTAATTGCAATTAATTAGAACGCTAACAGTTGCGTTTCTAACGCCAAAAATTTACAGCGCGCATTATACCTAAATAGAATGGTTTACATTTTTTTCATATCCTTCCTTTTTTGTTCCCTTTTTCTCAGTTTTGTACTCTTTCTTTTACACTTTCTCTTTCTCATAAATATGAATAATCCATTTGCTCGACCCAAATTAGACAGAAAGAAGAAAAAAATATTAAAACTCTCAGATATGTCCACAGTAGTGGTCTTCGAAACAAGCGTCAAAGTCAATATACATATACAACAAGGCTGCCTGGATTACCTCTAAATTGGAGGTACATGTCCAGGCGAGACCCCTGAGGGCATTGGAAAAGGCGTATATGACCCTAAACCGAAGCTGTCAGTAACCTTGGAAACCATCCCTAGCATCTTTCAAGCGGAAGTTTATACCCTCAGTTATTGTGGGACTAAGTGATAGTTGGGCGGAACGGAGTGCATTGAAAAGCTTAATTTCCTTGATGAGGATAATATTGCCCAAATAATATGGGTACCAGATTGCATGGGAGTAAAAAATTGAATAAGCCGATCAGCTAGCCAGACTGGCTGCTACTTTGATCCCAATAGAACCGGAGCCCTTCCTTACGGTAAGTTCCAGTGCGATAAAGGAGGCGTTCATAAAGGAAAGTAGTAAATTGGCACTGCATTGGCGTAACATCGCAGGAATTCGTCAAGCCAAGAGCATATTAGCTTGACTAACTATATAATTACTATTTTGGAAGAAATTTCTTACGGCCCTCTCACCTTCGGGCTTTTAAAGGAGTGTTTTGTCCTTGTGGGCCGGAACCTTTTCACTGACTCGGTTGGTCTCCTCGGAGACCTTGGCTGACTTCCAAAACGTATCAATACAATGTTTGGATACTGTTATACTGCGCTATTCAAACTGTTTGTATATACAGAGTTGCCACACATTGCAACCATATACATTGCATATTTTAAATATTCAATATAGCAATGAATAATTATTCTGAATTTTCCATTTTTAAAACACGAATGGTAACCAACAACAAACGAAGCCTCAACTTTCATTCTGATGCGCTGATTACTCTAGCGATCCGTTTCGATAACTTTTCGGATGCGTTTTTGAAAAATATAAATTGTCAATATTTTGCAGTTCGGCATTATGGTACATTATCCTTTGTACGTTTTCAAAGCAATTAACATTTTGGAAGTCAGCCCTTCTGTTACCTTATAGGTAAGTTTTGCAAGGTGGTAGGGTCGCCTTATATGGCCATCTGCATCAAAAAGAAAAAAAAATGTCGCTTACGTTATTTTGTCGGTTAGGGCTCGATATGTAGCTTGCTCAGAAAACCATCTACCGTCTCTGTCTTAAATTAAGCGAAACGTCAAAGCACATTCTTTGTGAATACTCAGGTTAGATACAAACGATCTTCTAGGTCGCAGTGCTGCGTGTTATGTTGCACCCAATTTATTAACTAACTTACCATGTATTCGAATACTAAGGTTTATTTCTAGAAATAGATTTGCTAATGAATCGTCGTGGTCGAAACTTTTTTGACAAACTTAAGCCTTCCCAGGAATAACTTGTCTAAGCACCAGCAATAATCTCTTTGCTACTTAATTAGCTAGCAAATCCATAACTGCCAGGGTTTGTGGGAGTCTTACAGGCCTATTCGGAGTATTGGTGAACATTTTACAGCCGAAAATTTTATTAACAAAAGTTACCGTTTCAACTCTATTTAACGGTTACAAAATTGTTGCTAAAAGCTCAGAATATACCTGTTAACCGTTAAATTTTCCAAAAGGAATTCATGAGGTAATACGAGTGGTCAACAGAACGTCAATGAATATAAAAAGTTTAGTAACTAAGTAAATAGTTATTAAATTTTGAAATCCAAATTTATTTAAGAGCTTGTAATTTAGTACTTGAAAATAGGTACACGGAAAATTCTGCAAAATAATGTGACGTTCGTGTAAACATTCTCAATGGGACTTACTATATAAGAACAAAGCCCTGTAAAAAATATTCTCTGAGCTATTGGCGAAGAAAAGAAGCAAGAACAAAATTTTTCTCCTAGTGTTCAAATAGCTTGAAATATTTGGATATTAAAATTAATAAAAAAAAGAGCTGACACATAACTTAAGACACGGACTTTTCTTGCACAGAAAATGAAAAATTGTTATATAAATGGACTGTTCACCCTAATGATAAATGATCTGAAAATTGCAATGATTAAGCTTTCTTATGGCTTGGAATTAACACTCGTGGTTTTCACTGAAACGATTTTTCATCCCAACACGCAGATGCCCCTCCCATTCTCGTCGTATATTTCTCAAAACGTTTGCTCTAGTTCAGTTCTCTAGCAGAACGTTCGCCAGGCTTTTGATTGTTGTTTTTTTTTTAATTGGAACTCCTCGAAAGTTTTGTTCTCATTCTGTTCTTCTTGAGAACGTTTCCGAGAGTTTTGTTCGCATTTTGTTCTTTACGGAAGCGTTCCCGAACCTTTTGTTTTCACTTGTTCCCCTTCAAATCTCTCAATATTTTTGTTCCCATTAGGCTCTTTTGTGGGCACGTTCTTGATTCAAATTTTTTTATCATGCCGAACTAAACCAAAACTGAAAACGTGTCTTCGGTGCCTGGTAAAAATTAACCAGAATTTAAATAGCACCAATTTTAAATTTTGAATTACAAATTTTCGAAGAGTGATGATCTATTGTCAGAAGGTGAAATGATGTACATATATTATGTACTCCTAAGATCACTAACATGCAACATAATATGTTATAAGGTTATGAATTTCCCCAAATGATCAGCAATGGAGGTATTCACGAATTAAACAAAAAATATAGTAAGCGGTTATTTTAAATAAACATTTTTGTTGTTAAAAAACAAAACTTCTACCAATGTTTCTCCACCAGGTCAATGGTTGAGTTCAGTGATTACTCCAGTGTTCAAACATGCTAGTACATGCTTACATTAATAATACATAAATTCAAATTTAAAAAGAAAATGGACTATAAATTACCCCAATGTAGTGCCAGTTATGAGTTCCGCTTGTGCACTTAATGTTTCCGCTATAAATTCATCATTGTATGCATCTTTAGGCCGATACCAACGTCTACCGCCGGGCAAAACAAGCGGCCGTTCCGAGGATGGCGTTAATGGGCCAAAGGCACGTTTCGAACGACGGCTGGGATTGTGATTGCGCTCCAGCTCCTCTTCGAGCTCCTCGATGACATCGTTACGCTGCCAGTTTTAGGGCCAGTTTTATGTAATTTTCGGTCAATTTATTCACAAACAAATACATGTAAATTGAGTTGTGTGTATGCTTTGTGCATTTGATCGTCTGCATATATTGTATATATGTATGTATGTATGTATGTATGTAGACGTGCTGCTATAAAAGTGTAGGTGTTAGTTTATGAGTTCATTTTAATTATTTATGTATGAGTGTAGATAAGTAAGTTTGTGAAGAAGAAGAAAGTGTGTAGGCTGATTGATAATAAACTTTAAGGTTCTTATATATCTTTTGATGTGCTGAACACAATTCTGTATTTTAATTAAATTGACTTTTTGTTATATTTGCATTTACTATAATTTCATGGTTGCAAGGAAATGCTAAAACTTTAGTGCTTTATTTACATAATTTCTCCTTTTTTCAGCTTTTTGAAAACAAGTTTTTTTTTTCATATTGTGAAAACTTTTTTGATACTTCATGTGGATTTTTTGGGAAGCTGCCGATTTTGTTAAAGCACGCTCTGGCTTAATTTTTCATCTTCATAATTCAAAGCGTACTGTTTGCCGCTGTAAAAGACCAAAAGCTTTAAATAGGGCTATTATTTAGTGGATAATCACGTGTTTAAAACTTTTGTGGGTAAATTTTTGGATTGATAGAAGTGAACGAAAAACATATTTTGTGAGACATTTATTTAATACGCTTGTAACCATTTAGGATTTATTGCGGAAAACGGATTAAATGTAAAACTAGGTATCATCTTAGTCGAAGGCTCTATCAAAAATGAATAGGAAAATCAGAAATATTGATTTCACGCGCTTGTTACACTAGTTCCCCGTTGCTCATGTATGACGGAATTAAATTATTAAAATACTTAGTGGTGGCAGATCTTGCCTGTTTTAAAAAGGCATTTCAATGGGTGTCGGAACTGTTAGAATCATCATATATTTATCTTGGGCAACTTTGGTGGTCTACCAGTCAGCACAGACCGGTGTGTCCAAACTTTGAATCTGGTTAGAAAATTGTCCATGGAAATCCTAAGCAGGAAATGGTGCGTGAAAAGTAATTGCACTCCACCCGGCAACATTTAAATTTTCACAAATAGTTCGAAGTTAATAACAAAATCTCCTGAAGGAGAGGATTAATAACTATTATGGTGGCTTTATAAGAATATTTGTCTTCTTAGGCAATGTATTTCATAAAAAGGAGTCATCAGTATGCCATTCGCCACTTGTAAGCTGGTCTTAAACGAATTTTTCTATGCTCCAGGAAATAAAATATATAAAATGGGTGCTCCATCTAGACCATTCATTTAATTTTAAATAAAACACTAAAAACAGAAATGGATGTCGGAATCTCTATTAAAACCCAATCTCTGTAATTTACTTTTTAAAAATAATGTCATGTCAGCTGCAGACAGAATATAACCATCAAAGGCGAGCCCTACCGCACCATGATAACGGGCCTTATGCTGCCTGAAGTTGAAACCAATGATGTCCGCAACATTTGGTTTCAGCAAGTTGTCGTATTATATCACACCTCCGGATTTTTTTCTTTTGGGTTATGTGAACATAAAATTCTTCGTCGATAAACCAGCTGTGTTTAAGAACTTATAAGCCAACATTACTCACGTAATTTGAGCAATGCTGGAGAGAGTAATCGAATATTGGACCTTCAGAATGGACCACCTACAGCGTAGTCGTGGCCGACATTTGAATGAAATTATTTTTAAGAAGTCTATAACCGAGATCGTTCTTTCGGATAATAATAAAGGTTCCGACAGTCAGTTCGGTTTTAAGTGTTTCATTTAAAATTAGAAAAAGTCTAGATGGATCCTCCTATACGAGATCAGTCTCTTGCCAAATTTTGCGTAATTTAAATGGAAAAGTACTTCGAAGCTTTTAAATCTACAAGAAACGAGGAAACGCACATCTTAAGCCATTGGTGCTAAGGAAATAAGTGAGATAGAACGTTTTGCAGTATCACAAACAGTCCAATTTTAATGCACAAGCTAATTGATTGCAATTTTAAACAAAGGCGTTTTTTTATAATTTTTGTAACTCGATTTCCGCAATAAATTATTGGTAAGTAGTTTTAAGCTTGTAATTTTTTGAGGTCAATTTCACTCGATATTTCAATGAAAGAAAACTTTTCTGCATAGTTCGGCTAATCTGGGTTTCTGCTCTCAAAAACAAAAAAAAAAAACATACAAAGTATAGCACAAACTATTTGTGTCAAAAAGCAACCATCCTTTGCCATTTATGGGTGTGTAGATTGGCACAATTTACACAATCTATTATTCAGACTCACCTTTTGCTTCTTCGCATTCTGTTCTTCCTCCAACTGCTGCATATCTTCTCTGTTCTGCTTAGCCTCCTGCTTCTTCACTGGGTCCAAAACTGAAATTTCTACCGGAGCGCTTTCCTTTGTTTCAGGGGTCGTGACTGCTTCAGTGGGTACAGTATCGACGTGATTATCGTTATTATCGCGCTTTGGTGCTATAAAAATATATTTTCGTTAACAATTTTCCATTTTACATCTGCCTTAAGCCACAGACCTTCTTCAGCTTTGGTCACCTCAACGGCCTCCTCAATATTTTCCAAATTAATGGCACGCGTTTCAGCTGGTGCTGGAGCGTCTACTCGCTGTGGTTCAGCGATAGCTGATTGCAATTGAAAAGCTGGCAACAATGCGGCCAATTGCTTTGTTACGGCATCGAGTGTGGCTTGTATGGTGGATGGTAGTGAGGAAAGAGCGGCCAGTTGGCGTTGTACGTCGGCCAGTTGACGTTCGAGTGCCAGTTCTTCTTCAGTCTTCTCGCGTTCTTGTAGAACTGGGAGGTTAGATTCAGCAGGAGCATTTGTGGTGGCAAGCCCTTCCCCGTTTTGTTCAGCTGCTGTTGAGGGTGTCGACTCGACTGGTGGGGATGGCTCCTTTTTGGTCTCCTGCACTTTCTCCACATTTTCTTCTACTAGTTTTTGCTCATTTTCTAGCGATACTTGTACGTTCCCGTTCTCCTCAGCTGGTGGCTCCACTAAAATTTTAACTTCTTCTAAATTCGGTAATTCGCTGTCTTTTGGTGGTGGCTCCTTAACTTCTTCTACCTTTGGCGGAGACGGTTGTTTTTCTTCAACTGGCAGTTTTGTTTCTATTGGTGTTTCTGGTGGCGGTGGTTGTGGCTGTACATAAATCGTAGATATTTGAATTAAAATTTTATTTTCCCTTCAATAGTCTCTCTTACCATTGGCGATGGCGAACGTGATATTGGTGCCGACTTGACAATCTTCACTTTGTACGCATTTGCCGCTCTGCGCTCAGCCTCGATCTGTTCCTTGCTCTTCGGTATGGGTCGATCTGGCTTCACCAAAAAAGTTGACCACTTTTTATTCTCCTTATCCTTTTCCGCTTTGGTTTTCGTAGCGCTCTCATTTAGTGTACGCAGCACATCACTAGCCATACAAACGCCCGGCTTGGGGAATATTCTGTAGAAATTTACGCTAATGTAATAAATCTAAGTTAACAAACAAAGTCCACAGCACACCATGCATATCTGCTTCACAGAACTAACCCCAAAACGTTATGATCCTGTAGCACCTCCGATTCGCCAGAAAGCACGGCAGCAATCTCTTCTTCAACCAACTTGATTTCAGTTTGCTCGGAAAGCACCGATGATGGACGTTCCGCTAGTTCGGGTAAGTACTCCGTCTGAGAATCTGGCTCCTCAACTGCTAACTGACGTGGAATAGGGCTTTTGCGTCCACTTATATCAAGGAAAGCTTGCGGTGTAGTAGGACGTTCGTCAACCCCCAAAACGGGGAAAATCTTCGGCACCAGTTCTTCCTCCCCATCACTGTAGCACAAAACGAACAAAAAGCATTTGAATAAATTTGCACGAACGCACAATTTAAAGGCTGTTCTAATTACCGTTTTACACCGATGAAAAATACATTTCCACATTGCCTAATAACTTTGTCTGCTTCGTCATGCGAGAGCGGCGAAGTGGCGGTATCGTTAATGCGCACAATGACGTCACCTTCACGCAAGCCAGCCTCCTCAGCAATGCTGCCCTCATTGACCTAATTTCGGAGAAAGAAAAATGCCACAAATTAACAAATTATGAGAAAATCAAACACCAACAAAGGATTGTGTACAAAATCGAATAAAAAATTCGTTTGCACGCCGAGTCAAGTGGCGTTTGCTGTTTGCTAGGTCAGTGAGTTAATTTTGGTAATGAACTTTTTCGAAAATCCACTCTCTACCCCGAGCCGCCACGAGTCATACGTGACAGTGAATGCGACAGCTTCATTTGCGTGTGTCCGAGCGTGCGCCTGCTGCTGCTGCTGTTTAATGCCGTTGAGCACCCATTTCTTCCTTCTTTTGTGGAAACTTCCTCTCGGTTTATTTGCTTGTCTGGCTAGACACTGACGTATTGCATGCGTCGCAATTGACAGTTGGCGGCCCAGTGATTACATTGGGTGGGGCAGCGGTGATACACTGCCGACAAAAATTGGCATGCTACTCGTATAGTATTTAAGTTAAAGGAGGAAATAAAAAAGTATGTATGTATGTATGTATGTATGTGTTGTATTTACGTATTTTTATTAAATATGTAGAGCATGACAATATAAATGAGAAGAAAACGCAAATTCGCCAGGGGATAAACGAAATTCGAAACTTGAAGTGATACAACGAGATAAAGGTGACAAAATTTATGTATTTATATTAAACCATATCAAAAAAAAATATATATGCAACGCCGGAACCCGACTATTTTATTTATTTATATAAAATTAGCTTACAACATAAATCTTATAAGCTATATGTGTTAGGAGCTATAGCAGCTAGGCCTTAAGCTCAAATGGTCCTCCCTGAATCACCCGTCTCTGCCGTTATGCTAAGAGGTCGCCAAAATGAGTTATTCTCTTTTGAGAACAATATAATTTTTTAGGATCAACCCAAAAACGCTCAATACTATTAAAATACTATTTATGCTATTTAAGTATTTTGCATATTCTTTAAGTTCTTAAATTTTTATTTTTTAATCCTGAGCCCGCATATCACTTAAATGGCGTAAAATCAATGTACTCTTACAGTTTCGAACGATTTGATTGGTCTTAGAAATTATAATGACCTAAAAAGGAAAGAACAAATTTTTTTAAGCAATAAGTATTTTTGAAAAAATTTTTTGTTAAGAATTAATTTACAAACGACTAAATCCTTGAATTTCGCCCTTTCAACTTTACTAGCTTAGAAATATAAAATGAATTAAAAGAATATTTTCAATAGGTATTTGTCCATGTGAACCAAAAGACTTAAATTTTTTCTGTTTCATTTGATACCCATATAATTTTTCCAGTACCAGGTTCACTGAGCTTTGCATCCTCCGTCAAATACTTTTTAAAGTTTTCAAGGTTTGGATATCAAATATTTGTCATTTTGATAGCTTTAAAAAAATATTTTGGAAATAAAAAACATATTTTGCATTTCGATATCTATAAAGTAAATTTCTTACTCTAAAATCTAGGTGGAACCCTATTCGGAAATATGCTGGAATGAATAGTACATATCTTGAGCGTATATATTATTTATTATATATTATATTTATTATTATATAGTTCGAATAGGTGGCAATCTTATACGAGTCTTCTCGGAGATAATGCCTATTTAGATAACCTTAAAATCCAAAACATTATCTGTCTACAAAATATCATCAAAATCGTTAGAGCCGTTTCCGAAAACTCTATGGATATATATATATATATATATATTCGTTCGAATGGACACCGACGCTCCAGCTCTGAAAGTATTCAACTCGGAACCCACTGGTGGTAGAGGAGAAAGAGGGAGGCCACCACTGAGATGAGAAGACCACGTGGAGAAGGACTTGGCTTCACTTGGCATTTCCAATTGGCGTCAGTTGGCATAGAAGAGAAACGACTGATGTGCTTTGTTGAACTTGGCAAAAATCGCTTGGGCGGTTACAGCGCGAAATAATAAGAAGAAGAATAAGTATTATTTCTGCAACTATCGCAATTTTCAATGGATTTTGGACTTTCTAGATAGCATATTTCAATGGAAATCAGGCATTATAGTAAACTAATTGGGAAAGTTTCGCGCCACTAATTTTTATCCGATTGCCACCAAATTTTTTATTGGAAGCATTAAGGCTAAATGGACACTTTTTCTTCCTGGCGGTATGGAATTAATTTTTAAGCACCAGTCTATTGTATACATATTTGCAATATTTGGCTGTAAATTATGGATACATAAGGAAGGGATGCGATAAATTTAGGGTTTTTAGTCCACCATGGGCGTATAGTTATGTATTACGATAAGGAGAGTGGGTCGGCAGTTGGAAAACGTTGGGAACCACTTGTCTAAACCATCAATGGTCAATACGTTCGCCGAAACCATCAATAGTGCCGATAGTGCTATCGATTGTTTCAGACCTTTACTATGTATGTATATTAGGACGGGTCAATTTGTATGGAAGATTTTTTCGACTATAGGCGTATAGCATAGGAGGATTTTACCAGTAATTGTAAGCACATTTGCCAAACAAACCACGGGTCTAGAAGCAATTTGGAGTTTGTCAAATTGCGAAAATAGGTTTCCTTTAGTTATCATTTTGCTGTAGTGTCGTAAAAAAAGTACTTAAACGAGTTTTTTACACCAAAATAAAAATGATGAGAAAATACTTTTCAATAATACTTCACAAGTCTAAATCGGATTAGCTTTGGCCCAGTTATTCAAGTTTTTTTAAAACAATTTTGGAAAAAAGTTGAAAAACTGCATTAAAAATCTCATTGATATGATATATATGATTGTGTTGAAAATATTTTTAAATAATTTTATGCAGATTTTTTAAGTTTAAACTTTTTTGTCGTCTGAGGGACTTTTTTTCAAAAATTTCTTTAAGAAACTATTAAAAACACCATTTATGGAGGTATTTTCAAATCGGTCCAGCTCACGTAAATCTTAATATTTTTCCGAAATATTTTGGTGGACGTCATAAAATATAATAAATTTTGTAATCCTTGACTGAATGTCAAAATTTTGTCTAAAGACTCTGATCAAGAAGTTAGAAATTTTGGTCAAACTTTGGAGAATTTTCATAATTTTTGCACAAAGTCTGAAATTTAGATTTGTGTTAAGTAATCAGTTATACTTTTATAAAACAAAAATAAAAAACATTGAAAAAACTAAAGAAAAATAGTCAAAACTTACTAAAATATCGCATACGGATGTTGGTAAATAACGAACTATTAAAAAACTAATCGAAATTAAATAACAACAAAAATAATATTTTAAAACCTGTCAAAATTTGGTGCGGCTGTAATTTTTTCGACTACTGTACATAAGTTGGCTATGATTACTCGGCCGTGCTATCATAGTAGCACAATGCCACTCATATTTGACTTACAAACAATCTACGGGCAGGAATTTCAAGACTTCAACCCTGTTTTTATAAAAAATTTAATTTTTATGAGTATTTTTCTTTTAATCAAAATATGTTGAAATAAAAGTGAAACTAAAAAAAAATTTTTTTCAGAACCCATTCTAACTGTAGTAGTCTTTAAGACCATTAGAATACTATTCTTAAATTCTTTATTCGCCCTTCTTTCTTTCTCAATTTTTTTCTATTTATTTTGAAATTCTATTTTTCGCACAAAATGTCTAGTGCTGTTTTTATACGCTTGGCCATGTGGAAGAGTTAACAGAAGGTACGTAATTAAAAATACAAACAAGCCAGCGTATGGTAATCAGAATGAATGAATAAAGGACAAAGAAAGGAGAAGAACGAAGTGCGGACATTCATGCGAAAGTTAGCTGACAATAATGGCGGTGTGATGATGGATGGTTTGAGTGATTGGAAAGAGAGGAAGGTAAATGGTTGGCCGACTTTTTGATTAAATACATACATATTTACATAAAATGTTTACCGTATACCTACCGATGTATATGTAAATGTGTGTACGTATGTACGTAATCTTAGTAGATATATGTACAACAGTGTACCATATGTATATGCAAATATTTACACAACGGCCAAAATGTAAGGCGAATCCTTTGCTCAACTCATATATGTACATACATACGTACATATATTTGACAGCGATAATGAGGCGTGTTTGACTTTTGACGTATGAATGTATGTATGTATGTATTCCTTTGCTGTTTGCTCACCGCATTCTTGCGTGTTGATTGCCAATAATAATAAAATATTTTATGGCCTGTTAATGCAAACGAAAAGCCATTTTAATTATTATTTCATTTGTCGCCATGCTAGCTTTCGTCGAGCAAGTGGCTCGCCATTAAAGTGCTCTTTCTTTTATGACAAAATTCACATTAATGCTCTTAAAGCTGTAGCATGCTGCAGTTTACTACGAAGCGAGCGTAAAAATCGGCGCTTTAATTTCTTATCCACCAATGCCATTGCAATCGAAAATGAAAATGAAAAAGTGTGTATTCGCTTTTTTGCTCTTATGTATGTATGTACATATACGGTGGCGGGAATGTAAATAGGTAAGAGTTATTTCAGCAAGTTTTGGCTTTTTTCTTTGTTTAAAAAATGTTTATTACCTTTTTTATGAAAATATTGCTTACTATCTAAACCAGAGCTGCTCACTCCATAAGCAAATTACACTTTAAATATACAAACAATTTTTTACCCTCCCGTATGCCCTGAAATATAAACACAATGCATATGAAAGTGCCTTACACGAAAAGAATTGAATGAAAAAATTCTAAAAAATGTGTCAGCACTGAAAAAAATTTATAATATAAATTGATTTAAATTCGTATATACTGAAAGTGAAAACGAAATTTATTGGAAAAAAACATATATGGCGTTCACTAAAGTGTGCGAGCGCGAGATTTTTTTTGCAAGCATTTTGAGTGTAAAGCGTAGTGTTTGTTGTGCTTTGTAATTATTAAACGAATGACGAAATATTACTTGCAACGTCATTTTGTAACTTGCCACCTAAACATTTCGGAAAATTTCAAAGGGGATATAGAAAAAGGATTGATTTCCAATCTGAATTCAATGTAGATCGCTGGGAGCATCACACCGCGTAAAGTTGATAGGATTGCAGACATTCTTCCGACGTCGGATTGCAGAAAAAAATAAATTTCGTTACTTTGAGGTGAAAATGTCAACCATTGTCCGGTGGAAAAAATATATTAATAAAAATAATAAATTAAGGTTGGAGAAACTCCAATCTCCTGTCCACAATTGATTTAATGTGCTCTCATTAAATTTTATTGCATATAGCTTCAATGGTGCTAGCATTTACTAACGTTTTAAAGTGAGACTTTTTTGAGCGAGGCGTATCCTAAGGAAGATGGAAAACTTGAGCTTGCGATATGATGTTAATATGTGCACGGACTACTCCCACTAAATTTTGGAACTTTTCAGCGTAGTGGCTAGGCGCTATCATTTCTTTACGCACTGTATTATTCCACATATATGTAAATACTCCCATTGCTAAGAATTTTCATTAACTGATCGTGCAATAAAAATAAACTTGTACTTTTTAGCTTCATTCTAATTACAAAAAAAAAATCTCTGTGTACCAATAAATTTTGTACATACATATATTGTGATTTCATTTCAGTATAAAAATTTTGAGCAGCCCTGATCTAAACAAACCCTTGTAAAACAAAATTTCAAACTTTTTAGAACATTTACAAAAATTCGACGAATTTTAACAAATGTTCATTCAAATTTTAAGCATTTTTATCAGATTAAAAAAAATTTTTTGAGTATGCAGTTTTCTAGGTCATTAAATTTTGGTAAAAGAAAGTCCAAGTCTTCAGTAGCCCGAACTTACCGTTGATTTTTTGCAATTTTTTCCACCCACAGTATAATCGAATTTTTTTTGTATGGCGAAAATGAGCAACACATGCCACAAAAAAAAATTAAAAAAAATAACCTTAAGTCCGAGCCACTTAAAATTTGCATTTTGTTATAATAAAATTGAATGGGCCACAAAACAGGAAACTCAGAATATTTCTTATAGGAAATGTCATGAAAGCAATTTAAATGAAAAATGATTTTACTTTTTTGAATTTTATGTGGAAATTGACAGAAAATAAAAAAATCATTTTCAGTTTAAATTACTGGCGCAACCGGCTGTTAGAAGTGTAACAATTAAAATCATCGAAATGTTGATGGAACTTTGTCAATTTTTGTAAATTTTTATACAAGGTTTGAAATTTTGACTTTTTGTTAGATAACGCTTTACTAAGAAAATAATATACATTAAATAATCGAAAGAAAAATAGTCAAAGAATGCTAAATCGTATGTTCCCTACTTATATTTTCGCCACGATGTGTAGGTACATACATATATCGTCCCCTCAATATAACAATAGCGTATGTGCTCATACGCCATTATTTTTTTATTGCATATTTAGAATCTCCATCATTGATTCTATGTCTGGTCAAAATTTCGTCAAATTCTACTTCCACAAAGTGGGTCAAAATGTCATTGGAAAAAATGGTGTATAATTTCTTGTTCAAAAATTTCCTTCAAAAAAAAAAAAAAACAAAAACTTTAAACTCGATTTTCTCAAAACCCAAAAAAAATTATACGCTATTGTTATATTGAGGGGACGATATGTACTATATATGTATGTATGTATTGTATGCATTAACTTTTGCTGTACACTTTGTTGCTCGAACGCACCACTAACGAACTTATTTCAAAGTTACGTAATTTGATTTGACCACAAAAATTTTTCATTTACACATTTTTTCACCAACTTTTGGGCTTTGTGAGAAAATTCGCCACACAACAAGTAGGCTTACGACAACAACAGCTCCCGTGGCCACAAAATGTACGTCATAAGTTAAATTTTCCACGCATAAATTTAACTTTCATGGCCCGTAACGCGCACACGTATACATACATACATACATATGTGAGTATGTGTGTGTGCGTACTAACCTTAACCACCGTCAGCGGAAATTCGAAATCAGCACCACCGACCAAACGAAACCCCCAAGGCACATTATCGAAGCGGCACATTTTAATATCAATCACCATTTTGTGTGTCTGAATTTATTGAAACGTTCTTCTGCTAAGCGTCGATAATATATTTTCGATAATTAATAAATTTCCCGTGCAATTAGATTGGTGGTTTTGCTGCTATTGGCAATCACTTGTCTGCCAGACGTGTGAGATACTCCTCTACAGTGGATGTTATTGAAGTGGCGATTGGAAATTGCGGAATGGCAGCGATGTCCATCGGGCGACTACTAGCGCTCTTATCGCATTTAGGCAGCTGTGCTGCTGATTAGATGATTGCTGGCAACGCTGAAACTTGTTGAATCGCTGCTACTTCGAAGACCAACAGCCTCTCGTTCATCATTCGCTTCCTCATTCCTTCCTTCCTCTTGTCACCTACAACTAACTAAATACATATGTACATACACCTGCACACCAATTTAAGCAGTATGTGTTTATGTGTCTTCTCTCAGCGTTCATTCATGCAACTTCGTTAGCTCGTTGCTGGCTGTTAATGAAATTTATGCTGTTGAGTGTGACTTGCTAGCCAATAAACTTGCACTTGCCACTTAGTAGGCGCCCGCTCAGTTTGCCAGTCGGGCAATCAGCAGAATTTGCCGTGTCGACGTGACTGGCTGACAGCAATTTCTCATTGATTGGACACTAAGATGTTGGCGATAATTTATTTCTGTTGCCGTTGACGTCGGTGTACGGCTTTGTCGCAACTTCTGCCCCTTATGTCTCTATTTATCCGTTTATTTGTTATTTTTATTGATTTTCTCTTGTTTTGCTTTTGCTGTCTCACACCGAATCTCTTTTGTGCTATTTGTTTTTTTGTGGCACGAGTTCACTGCCTGTTTTTATTAAACAAAATTCAATTTGTTCTGATGCAATTTGGCTGTATTGGATTTAGAGTTTATTGTCTGAGTATTGTTATCGGCTATTATCGGAAATTTCGCTGCGAAACAAAAGTGCGAACAAAAAATCGGCGACGCATTATTGCCATAAAATTTCCGTCTTTCGTACAATTAATAGGTATTGATTTATAGATTTTTGCAAATAAAGATGTATACCAAAACTCAGATTTATACATTTTACCTAAATTTTTAGCTGTTAGCTAATATAGTCTCGTTTTGTGCGTAGAAGTGTCCGCTGTTTAGGATTGAAAGCATTTTATTTTCATTACCCGAGATCCGTCTGCACAAGGCTATATTATACCTTTCTTAAATACATGATTTTCACCTTTCCGAAAAATAATGCTACATGGTAAGCCGGGTGTATCAATTTTAAGTAAATTAGCGTCAACTAAATTGTCGAAATATTGAAGTTTCAAGCATTTCTGAAATTTGCCGTTACATGAAAAGCGCCTAAATTTCAGTCCGATTTCAATAATTTTCAAGGTTTTGCTTTTATGTGGCAAGTACAATAAGCATACCGAGTTTGGTACAAATTGGTAGAACGGTTACCCATTTTCCAAAATTTTATTACAAACATATTTCTTGGTAAAGAGTTGTTGCAAGCATCAATTTTGAATAAATTAGCTTTAATATTTACTGATTTATCGAAGATTTTGTATTTCTCCGAATTACCGCTTTATGGGAGGTGGGCGTGGTTATTGTCCGATTTTGCCCATTTCCGTCCTACGACCGAAAGGAGTTCACGTACCAAGTTTCGTTCAGATATCTCAATTTTTACTCGAGTTATCGTGTGCACAGACGGACGGACGGACGGACAGACGGTCACCGCTTAATCGATTTCTCTTTTCATCCTGATCATTTATGTATACATTTGTCTATATCTATCTCGATTTGTTTTGTCTGTTACAAACAACCGTTATGTGAACAAAGTTATAATACCCTTGTGCACAAGTGCACGCGCGTATAAAAATGGAAAAGCAACGAAATTGCCCTGAATTCTGGATCCAAAATATTCATTAAAAGTTTGTGTAGTTTTTTCGTACACCGAATGCCCCTACCGATGTAGAATCGAAAATCGAGTTTTTGTTTCAATGGAAAATATTTTGGGATATTTTTAATTTACCGTTATTCAGCTTAAAAAATGTTTCTACTAAGATATCCATCCACTTTATATAACGTATGATATGCACATGGCGTATGAGTAACATTCTTTCTTCTTAATATTTCATACAAAAAAACCTTGCATCTTCATTAGTAGCTTGATTTTTTTGTAAAAAAATTTACGCAGAACTTCGTTATTTTATAAATTGAAGTGTTGAAGTATGAATTAATTAATTTTTTCTTTTAAAAAAATCTGGAACGAAGCTATCAGACCCAGGAAAAAGTGATGTATATACGGTTTATGGAGAATTTTATAAACTTAAATCCTCCGTATTTAGTATCAAAAAAGAAATTTTCAGTGTAGAGACACGAATTTTCTACAGTTTTATTATAGTATAAATTATATTTGGGTCATCACTAAAAACGAATAACGCAGATACATTACTGCTACAAAACGTCTATGAATGGGCCTCCAAAGGTTCCAAACGTGTACCTCACAATGTTAAAGTGAATTTTATTTTTGTAAAAAATCAAGTTTTCGTTAATTTGCCCATATAACCGTAGAGTTTAGAAATACGGAATCTAGGACGACGTTGTATGATGTTGAGCAATACCACCAGGTTCGTTACCGAACGGGGTTTCGGGCAGGGCGGCTCCCTTCCATGTGCTTTCTTTACTCTGATGTTGGAGAGGATAATAAGAGCCGCAGAACTGAATCGCTCTGGAACAATTTACTATAAGAGCGTGCAATTTCTGACGTTTACCGATGCCAAAGACGTAATTGGTAACAAAAACCGCGAAGTGTGATCTGCCTTTTTCTAGTTGGATAAGTAAGCAAATCGGATGGTTCTGGTGGTAAAAGAGGCAAGACGAAGTAGCTCCTGTTATGAAACGAAAGAGTCGGCGCATCGCTCCTTGGAACCCACGTCACTGATAACAGTTATAATTATAATCCTGAAAGTGGAGAATTTCGTTTGGTTGGGAACCAGCATTAACACCGATAATAATGTCAGCATCGAAATCCAACGCAGGATCACTCTAGCCAACAAGTGCAACTTTGGACTGATTAGGCAATTAAGGAGTAAAGTCCTCTCTCGACGTACGACAGCCACACTCTCTAAGTCACTCATAATGCCCGTGCTGGTGTATGGCTCAGAAGCATGGACAATGACAACATCCGATGAGAGGGCTCTTGGACTACTCGAGAGAACGATTTTGCCGAGGATTTACGGGCCTTTCTTTACGCATTGGCAACAGCGAGTACCAGTAGACGATGAAACGACGAGCTGCTNTGGCTTGGTCATGTGATCCGAGGGGAGACCGACGCTCCGGTCGTGAAAGTATTCAACATCGAACCCGATGGTGGTGGCAGAGAGAGCAGGAGGCCCCCACTGCGATGTAAAGACCAAGTGGAGAAGGACTTGACTTCAGTAACATTTCAGTGCTTAGTGTAGAAATCTCAAAAGCTGGCAGCATTTTATTCAAATTAGTATTGTACTTGAAAACTATTGAAATTTCAAATTGAGTAAAATCATTTCTGAATACCGGTAAATGCAAAGAAAACACGGTACTTTTAAGTATCTATTCGACACTTAATACTGAGCAAATTGAATCAATCCTGAGTACAGAGTATTTTTGAGTACTGAATACTTTCGAGTTCTTTAGTGAATACTGAGTAATTTCGAGTTCTTTTTTGAGTACTGAGTTCTTTGGAGTTTGGAGTACTCAGTATCGATACCTTTAAAAATCGAGTGCGGTCGATCTTTTTGAAAATCGAGTTCTGAGAACTTTTGGTATCGACACTGCCCAGCACTAATTTTGATCCGTTATTTGCAAAACCGTCCCACCTAATTTCTCCAAATGTTGAAACAAAAACGTGAAACAGTGTATATTTTGTAAAAAGTGCTACATGTCTTGGTGGAGCAAAAAATGTTCCCAACCCAATTTACAATTTGTTTAGTAAATTAATTCGGAATCTAAATACTGGCCTCATTGGCCACTGAAACTTAGACAATGGCTCTTTAGTTTTAATTGTCCCAAATTTAGGTATTTAAAACTGGTAATAACGTTAAAAGAAGTTTAGCAGTGATAAAATAAACTATTTATGCAGTTTATATTGTTTTTTAGCTATGCAAACAACTATTTCAACACTTTGCGAATAAAGTTATTTACATATAAGCGTTGCCTTAAGTTCATTCTGAATAGCACAGTTACTTCGAATATCTATCTTGATTATGTCTTAGAGAAGTGTAGGAGTTCGATTTACATATTAGTAAAAATTTGTGACATTTTTCCTAATTTTCATAAAGTGGTGAACGACACCTATTTATTATTTTGCCGAAATTTAAAATGTTTAGGCAATTTTAGGCAACTACACCTAAAGGTATGATTCAAAAGATGGCGAAGGTCTAAGGATGGGAGTCTATGATTCAAAGCACATGTCCTTCATTACCACGGAGAATACGCCAGCGTCTTTAAAGCGAACAGTTTAGGTGCTAACGCAAATCTATACAATCGGGCTCCACTGTGTATGAATGTGTAGAGAAATTAAGCTCCCTAAAATAACACACAAATTTTCAACTGATGGGCCCGCACTGTAAAGTCATACAGGGTAACAAGTAGGCGACAGACTGTC